TACCTAGAACATGCGATATATAAGTCAGTTCAAGTTCTAAGATCATCGCAAGTCACCTATAGAACTACCGGTATGGTTAACCGATTCATTCTTAAGTGCATTACTTGCTAAAACATTATGTATTCACAATTCGGCTGATCTAAGCTTCAGTTGATACGCATGGGCCAAAGCCCACCACTTGCGCCTCAGTTTTTATAGTGGAAGTGTTCTCTGGCTATTTTGTTCTTACCAGTTTTTTTGTAATGTTTTAACTTAACTATGGCTGATTGCTGCTACACAATCTACTGCTGCCCTTATAGAGTTCACCCAAACCCCGGTACACTTATAAACTATTACCTGTATCCTAGCTACCTCCAAACTTCTAATCCAGATGGCCTAGAAGAGCTATGACCTGCTCCTGGTACTCACAATTAGATCTTTTTCCTCCAATTACTCCTCCAGTGGCCTGGTTAGTAGAGTGCCTTACTAAACACTTCGGTTCCATTCAGTTATAACCAGTTCTTCAAGTATTAATCTGCATGTAGTACCATCGAAGATCTGTGCTACCTCTCTATTTGGAACTTCCTAAGTGAGCATCCATCATCATATCGGCTCTGTGGCTTTCTGCGATTCTAAAGGACTTATCTTGGGTTTTGCATCAACTAAATCAGCTTGCATACCTTTGTATAACTTCTTTATTATACAAATGCCCCAGAATCTTCCAATTTTTATCTTGATATAACCACAGTTACAGAGTTTCGAGTTTTCTTGGCCACAATGATAGTTGTCGAATCCATTTTTCTAAAATCTAATTTTCATCTTTCATGGAAATTAAACTTATACTCAACTGCTTGGAGGTGCAACAACTTCACTACTTCACTAAATCGTCACACCCTTAGTTATTTTTTTATAAAATCATATACAGTAGTTAAGTATATAGTAATTTTTTTTTAAAATAGAAGTTGTGTTTGTATAAAGGTTTTTTTTATTATTATGATTTGTCTTGCTACTATTTTATTAAAATAGTAACTAAGCAAAAATTACAAGAATTTTAACTATAGTTAATCCTCCTTTAATCGCAACAAGTAACTCACTTGGCTTAAAGCCCAGGTGTGACATCACCTAGTGGCTGTTTGCCTCTCTCTGGGCCTCTAACTTTCTAGAGGCATGAATTCTTCAATCATTGGCCAGTACTACATGCCATATTAGTATCATCTTTTCTACGAAATACAAATATAAAACAAAGAGTAAAAGAAAAAAAGAGGTGATACCTTGGCATCCAAATTCGATCCACCTAAACAAATAAAACCAAAAAAATATATAAAAGAAAAACAAAATAAAAGAAAAAAAACAAAGATAACACTATTAAACCTGTGCCAAATTATAAAAATTATATAGATTATTAAATAATCTAGTCTAAACTCTATGCTAGTTACTTATTGTCTATATTAGAATATATAAAATATCTATCCTTAAGTAAAAACCAAGTTCAAAATTTCTCTTGTGATCCTACTGAGTTCAGTTAGTGATGTAAATTGGATCCGTGCAGTAGGCGCAGCGCATATAGATTTAAATTTGCGCATATAACAGCACTTTCCGTATATATAAAGCGCGTATAGATTTCTTTTTTGTGTGCATTTTTTTTGTGTTTGCGCTAATAAAAATTTTTTGAATTTATAATACTGGGTTCAGTGTAATATTCTGCAATATCTTCTCATACTAAAGCTTGTTTTTGGGCAAAGTTAAGCAATCTACGCTTTTTAGCTTCTGTAGATTTCAGTGTAAACACTGTAATCTCTTGAGGTAATTGATGAAACATTATTAATCCAAAAGTAGATATGTACTCCTGTATATGACTTTTTTTTTTCGATAGTGATTGTTGTTGTCAATTCTTCGATAGAGGTACACTAACTTTTCTACTTTTTGTTAAAATTTCATAAAGAACAAAGAGTAGGGCTTTGGTAGAAGGTTTTGGTTTGCAAGTATTCTTAAACTTCGGTAAAGAATATGTTAAAAACTTGCTTATTGTTCTCTTTAGACCAACTATCTTTAACTTTGTTAGCAGAAGCAGAGCTTCTATTAAAATTTTCTGTACAAAAACACCACCTTCTCACTAGTTATCTTGTACAAGAATACTTTTAACTTGTATACTAAATATACAGAGTAGTTTGGAAGAATAGAAACAAAAACCTTGACCTCTGTAAAAACTATTATTTGTAGTTGTCTCTTCTACTTTTCTCTAATAAGTTTCTGTTTTTGTTAGCTGTAAGTTTGGTACAAGTGATTGTTAGGATATAAAGGTTTTTTCTTATAAATTAACCATAATTTAGTCTAAAAATAAACATAATTATATATAGTGTAATTATATAGAAGGTGACTATATAGAAGAATGACTGTATATATAATATAATATATTATATATAGATTTTTTATAATAATATTAAAGAAAATAACAAAAATTACCAAAAGTAAGAAAGGTAAAAAAATTAAATTTATATATAAAAATCTAATTTTATATATATTAAAAAAGAAAAAGAAAGTAAATTTCTAATAAAAAATAATTAGACTTTAAATAATATTACTCTAACCCAAAATTATTATTATACTACTTATTTATATTAAAGATTAATCTTAAAATAATCTATATAAAAAATAAGGATACTTCTAGATATTTCTCACAGAAGATATATATCTCTATAGAGAGAAATATATCTCCTGCCGATAGTGATTCACAATTTAGTACAACATAACATGATTAAAAAAATTCAAAACAAATATTTGTTCAAAGAAAAAATCACTTATTTTTCAAAAAAATACATAAAAAACCTACTTTTTACTCTAATAAAAAGTTTTTCTTAAGCAAATTTACTATGTAATTTACTTATCTCTAACTTTAATTTAATATTATTTTAATATAAATAGATTTTAAAGAATTCTAAAAAATATATTTTTCATAAAAAATCTTTATAATTTTCTAAAAAATAAAAGAACATTTCTATTTGTATATAGTGTATATATACACAGTTAATATAAAGAACCAATCAGATTGCATGATTAGATGTAATATAAAATTATTGTTGTCTTTAAAATATTACTTATATCTCAAAATTTTGTTTATAAAACCACCTTTTAGGTTCTAACAAAAAAATTCTTTGTGAAATTTTGATATAAACCATAACTTGCCCCAATCCTAAATGCACTCTTAATCTAATCTAAAGTAGTATTTAATTTTTTATTTTATAAAAGTTGTTTTGATTGGTATGTTATATACCATATACAATTATAAATTTTCAAAATAAAAATATAATAAAAAATTAAAAAAAATTTAAAAAATTAAAATTACAAAAATAAAAAAAAATTAAAAATTAATACAAGACAATAGTAAAAAACTATTATAAGCTTAATAAAAAATAATATAAAATAATAAAAAAATAAAATAAAAGCAATAGTTAATAAAATAAAATCTTAATTTATAATATTAAAAACTAAAAAAATTAAAATAAATTGTATAAAAAAAATTTGCAAAAAAATAAAAATTACAAGCTAGAAAAAATTAAAAAAAAACAAAAAAAAAACTAAATAAATAAAAACACAATATATAAAATAAAGTTACTTATTACAAAGAAAATAAACCTTTTTTGTTATAGATTTTGAAAAATCAAACAGCCTATTGTATATTTAAAAATGATAATATGGCAGATTGCACTTGAGTACTAAATAAAGCTAGACTTTAAGAATAGTTTTATAAGATTACAATATGCATATATTCTAATTTTAAAAACTCAATAAAATATTACAGGATTGCTAAAAATTATATATTTTATTTACTAATTTAAAATTTTCTAAAATGCTATAAAACTTAAAATTTAAGCCTTTTAGTAAATTCTTATTATCAAAATATACGTATACTATATATAATATCTATATACATATACGTAATAATAAATATATACATAATACTAAACTTTCAAATTAGATCTAAATAAACTAAATAAATCTTATTTTAACTATAAATTTTATTATAAGATTTAAATAATGTGCAATGTTCATTATAAAGAGAGGCTATAAAGAGTATTGAAAAGTTTTTGAATTTAGAGAATTTAGAGTTTTAAATAGCAATGCCGATATACACGATATACCGATATACATCGATTTGCTTTGTACGTAAATCCACTAGAGCGGCCACATGTTGTGTGGCTATCTCAGCATCATTCAAATCAAAATGATAGAAGAATTACAAAACAAAAATGGCATATTTTAACCTTGCTAGCAAGATGACAATTCATATTATTATGAATATCGCAAATGAATGTCTGTAGGGATTTCCGGTAATTTTTGTTTTAAAAAGAAAATTAAAAAATATATAACATATATATTACACATGGATTGTGTATTAACGGAAATTAAATCTACATAAATGTAACCACTTGACCAGAATTAAATTTATTTAATTTTTGAGTGAATTGATTGCGCAAGCAGACAACGTGCAACCGGAAGAATTGTCTTACCCATTATCATTATGTTTCATTTTGCTAAAAATCAAGAAACGTGATCATAATATAACGAATATCTTCTACGTAAGAATATCCGATATTATAACCAAAATCTGGATGACTAGTGAAATTGAAACACATCGTGACTAATTATATGCGGGGATTAACACGACGCTTACACGACACACTAACGCAAAGATTTATAAGATGATTGTGTTTGTAATATTGGAATGGCCGATGAATTCTAATACATTATAATACATACATAATTTATACCTAATATGATCATTGCAAACGGAACCAAAGCAATCTTTTGCGGCTATAATGACTTTGGAATTCATCATCTAATTACTCAAGAGGAATGTAAAGGAATATTCTGTGTAACTGGCATTATAAATTTACACAATCGCAGCTATCATGAGCATTTAGCATCATGTACTATATAAAAAAATAATGACTTGTGGCGGTTCAATAAAAAGAAATGAAATATAAATAAATAAAGGAACTATATAAAAAAAAAAAAACTTTATGAGGTGTGTGTCAACTGTGCATAAGTGCGATGTCGTTGGATTGGCCATTCCCCCTGTACTACTTAAATCACTCCAAATACAATACTTTCCTGTTTATAGTACTCGATTTGCCTTTCTTCTCACCTTTCCTGACTATATGGTATCTCTTCTTTCTTTTTGACTAGAATAGTTTTGCGCATCTCTGGTAAACGTCACAAGACTAATACCGCGTTCAACCTATAGCCACGAAGACAGCTTATATCGCTTTTTAGAAAAAAGAATAAAATAAAATTTTGCATTAATGATGCAGACACTGGATTTGGCAAATTATCCTGTTACAGAAACTCTTAAGATGCTCGCTTCACTGCTGGAAAAGATTACAAACGCAAACGACCATTTAAAGTCAACTCATAATAACATAAACCATTCTGAATCAACGTCTTCTTCCGTGACAAAAACATCCACTTCATCCTTCACGCGTTTTCACGCACGTTCAGTTCCTTCAATAGATATTCATTCATATCTTTCAAGGATATTAAAATATTGTCCTACCACGAATGAATGTTTTCTTTCATTATTGGTATATTTTGATCGGATGTCAAAGAATGCATCCGCTACTTCGGGGAAAACCTTTTCTATCGACTCTTTTAACATTCATCGTCTGATAATTGCCGGTATAATGGTGTCCTCCAAATTTTTCTCTGACGTATTTTTCACTAATTCAAGATATGCAAAGGTATGGTAAGGGTACATCCGGATTCTACAAAGTTTCCAAGATGCACCGCACCATTTTTTTTTCTTTTTGTAGATGTACGATGATGGCGGAGAACTCCCATTTGCTCTTTTCTTATCAGGGTCTAACGAAATTTATGTATCTATAAATCTCCCAAATTCTTTAACTATGTGGATCATTTAACGTCGAGCACCTTTTAATTCTGGATGTCCGATCTGCATCCACTGGCAAAATATCATTTATTTTCATGGGAATTCATTCCGATTCAGTTGTTAATCGGTGGATTCGATTATATCGACCCCCGTATAACTTAAATGAAATGATACAGTGACCTTCTCATCACATCATCGTGCTAATTCTATACCGTTTTTGCTATTCATTTCAATACTCATAACATAAAATGATTGGATTAATATAATTTTGCTTCTTTTTTTTTTTCTTCGAATTCCTTTTTGGATGTCTATTGTATTTTCCCGTCATTAATAGGTGGGAGGACTACCAGTATCGGAATTAAATCAACTCGAGTTGGAATTTCTCATATTGAACGATTTTCGTTTAGCAATAAGTGTGGAAGAATTACAACGATACGGCGATCAATTACTCAAACATTGGATATTAGAAGAGGAAATGAAACAAGGGGGGAGCATATATGATGGTATGCGATTTCAAAATAGTCCTGTTAATCTTAGATGGGATTCGGGGCATAACTTTGAAAAGAACGTCACACAACCTAAACGGACACGACGTTTACATTCTAACGATGACACAAATATAAGAAGTGGTGGTTCAAAGCCATTGAAAGATGATGATCAATTTGATAATGGTTACTATTTTAGTCGCCATCGTCGAGATAACAGTTTCTCATCAACAAAATCATTGAATATCCCATATCAATCCTCTTTAACTTCATCTCCGCAACCATATTCAACGCATATATCAAAAACACCACCTCCACCATCTTTATGTGGCTCTTCACCATCTACTTCAAGTAGTTCACTTCCCATTCCAAATTCTATAAATGGTTCACCAATGCACACTCCTTTTGCTTCAAGTAGTATGTTTAATATCCATCCACATTATCATTTTTTACATAAACCATATCCTCATCATACACACCATCGGTCAGCGAGTATAGAAGGGTCGACCATAAAACGGGCGAATAGCAGCGGCTCTTTACTGAGTCGTGCAAGGGGTTGTGATTTATCTGACGATTTACAATATCAAAGACGTTCCTCACCGAAATCGATTAATCCTGAAGATCACGCTTATCGGACTGCCGCTGTTTCTCCGTATTATTCTGCACAATTAACGACTCCAATGAATAATAGTAATAGAGGCGTTCCTCAACAACCAACTTTGGTAAATCCATCTCCTACACGGAACATCTCAAATTTTATGAGACGCATGTCTCATGATTCACCCGCAAACACATCACAATATCCACCGTCTACTTATCATTACGCTGGATATCCTCCTCAATCATCAACGCAGTCTCTACCAACTACTCCCGTGACTACATTACCTTCAATGCAGGGAATATCGTTTAATCCTTCAGTAATAAGTAACGCCGCTCATTCTACTGTTACTGCTGCTTTGAATTATGCTCGAAGAGCTTCTGTTGTTTTGCCACAAATACCACGTAATTTAGGTGGAATTCATAGCAGTATGCCTTCGCCAGTATCAACTGTCGCTCCTGATAACATGGGTCCTGGACTGGTTAGACGTGGATCATTTCCTACAGTATTGAGTGGAAGCAGTCTTTCTAATGGTAATAATAATAATAATAATGGTGGTGGTGGTAGTGGTAGTGGTGGTATTCATTCAGAACCAAGGAGTTCTAGTTCTAATGTAGTAATGAACAATGGATCTTCGTCAGCACAAACGTCGGTATCTTCAAATCCTATAATGGTTAATGGTCATGGACACACAAGTGGTATAGGAAACATATTTCATAAATTTACTAAAAGAGGCAGTTGGGTAATTGTTAATCATCCTCAATCGAATACCAATCCTGGGCATTATAATCACCATGCGCATCAAGCTAATCATCAGCATGGCAAACTTAATAAACATGGCTATTATTACCAGCAGAGTTATGACCACGGCACTGTATCTCGATCATCTTCATCTGATTCTTGCCATTCTTCATCGACTACAGGTTCGGATACTTCAGGAGGCTCAGGAATGGAATCATCTCTCCCGACATCGCAAACTACCACAAGTGGAAGTGATAGTTCAAATATAAATGGTCCGAATAAGACTCTTAAAAATTGAAGTTTAATTGAATTAAATTTAATTGATGATGTGTAATGAAGGTTTTTATTATTTTATCAGGTGAAAAGTTATTATTAACCGATGAAAACGAAATTAGAGTTGGACATTAGATTGAATTGGACTTGTTAAACCAAGGTGAAAAAATATGCTTTTTGGTGGTGGGTTTTTTTATTCTCGATTTGAGATAAAGGATTGCATGTTTCGCACATTTATTGTAGTTTATTTGTTTTTGCTCTTTTATATATTTGAATCATATGCACCAACATTTATTATTACTATTATCATTCTTATTACTATTATTATTACAATATGTGGAATATATTACACAAATTTATTACTATATACATGAAGTTTATACCTGAATTTTAAATTTTATATACACTCATATACATAACTCATTTTTTTTTTCTTGTATATCTTTTTTATATTATATAACCTTTAACCCTTTTTTTTAGTTATAAATAGCCTTTGATTTCTTATTTTTTAAAATAACCCTTGGGAATTTTTCCTTTTGTAATTATTTTTATCATCAATCTTACAAAAATTCTTTTATGTGTTTATATATATATATATATATGCTATTCTATACTATTATATATGCTGGTTTTACAAACAAATATAGCGAAAAAAAATACTTTAAACTTGGATTTATTATTGCATTATTAAATTTTTTCGTGGTATGTCTATTTTTTTTTTTTTTTGCTTTATTTTTAGAGTTGGTGTGGGTGTGCTAATTGGGCTTAGTAGGAGAATTTTTGGCTAAAAAGTTCTATTCGTCATCTAGAGAATTTTAATCCTAGCACTATGACCGAAATCATATAACTTAATCGCTATAGTGTTTAATTCTGAGCTGGTATGATATCATAGCGTAGAGGATAAACGAGTTACAGCAAAAAATTTATTTTCCGATAGAATAATGATATTACGATAACCGATAAGCATTGTATTTTGTTAATTCATGTGATTGTATATTTTGTCACTAATTTACGTATACCCGCATTACAGAAAGTTATTTTAATTTAACCGTATCGGTATGCAGGGTCTACGTATCATTATAGGATCATTGACGGTTATATAACTTTGATGTTGTAAAACCACTATGCGATATATAATTCTTATGTAATATCGTAAAATTACAAACACCGTAAGTTTTTAAAGTTCGTAGTTGGTTGGCTAGTGTGGCCGCCGGCTAAATAGTCATAATTTAACTTTTATAGAAGATTAATTAATATTACAATATTGTAAAGTATCTATAGATTGTTGTCATTATTATTATTATTCTTATTATTTAGATGTTTATTGGTTTAAAAGGTGACGATTTGAAATTGTCATGTGATTTACAATAAATTTCTCTATTTAAATGCAAAAATATATTGATGTTTTTGTATTGTTATAATTATTAAATACCATTTTTTTTACTTATTTATTACATTTTGCATTTATTATTTAACACAAAGTTTTATCGGTTATATAAAAAAACATTTACGTACGTACGTACGTACCTACGTATTTATTTATGGTATTACTGAGTTTTACAATTTCTGGACACAGTATTAGTAATGAAATTATCTTAGCCGTTGGGTGTAAACGAGGTTTCCGCTTGTACACCAGGGTATTTTTAATTAATACCTTGTGATTTGATATGGTGAATGAGATATTATTTAAATAATAATGCTTGTATTTATGATTAATTTATACATAGTATATATCTAGATATATAAATTTGGTGTTTATTTTTTACATAATAGATTAAATATTTCTCTATATTAAAATTTTGAAACCGTTATTTACTATATATACACTAAAATAATCAGAATAAGTTATTTTCAAATTCTTCCCTCTTATGGTTATAGAATGATCTGATTGGATAAAAAAAAAATAATCGTGATAATCATTTAGCAAATTTGTTATTTTCAATTTCAACCCAATTATTACGTAGTTAATTATCCTGGAAAGCTGCTTAAAAAAAGCTATAGTTAACTCTAATATTTTTTTTAAATACAGGTGTATATATTAAAATAATGTAATTTATATTAGAATTATATAAAAATATAGATTTTGTATTTTTTTAAATACCGGTATGTTTAATTTGGCACAAGTAAATATAACACGGAATCAAGTTATTCGACTCATATTTCACCGGCAACCATTTCACCAACAGCCCTTAGCCAACATCAGGGACAGTAAATACCTCCATTATTAAATGACGAATTTTTTATCAATTATTCCATTTATTCCATTTTATTCTATTTTATTCCGAAATCACCAAAAAAAAACTTTTAATTTAATTTTCATTTTCAATTTCCGATTATTACGTGATTAATACGTGATTAATAGCGAGATTTGATTGGCTATAATTTATCATTTTATTCATTTTATTCTGTTTTATTCTTAATGGAAGTATTTACTGTCCCTGGCCAACATTCTGTTTCCCCGATATCTTATCTTACTGATAACCTATTTCACCGACAACCTATTCACTTCACCGACAGCATAATTCCCCAACAACTATTTTCTTGACGGCTATTTCGCCGACAGCCATTGTTTTAATAGCTTGTTTACTAACAGAACCCGCCTAGTCGGGGAATTATGCTGTCAGTGAAGTGAAGTTAGTAAAATAGGCTGCCGGTGAAATATGTTGTTAGTAAAATAAATATCTAAATGGGTTGTTGGCGAAATTTATCAAAACCGCTTAATACTTAAATAAGTATATTGTAATGTTTTATAATGAGTGTTTAGAATTAAACTATTTTTAATTTATATATTTTAATAAGATACTTTAAAATCATATAGAATCAAATATAGTATAGGTTACCCCTTTTAAAAAACTATTTAATTTACTAATTTTATATAGTAATTTTATTGTATTTATATTATAATTAATATTTTTATCA